AACGCTCATGGCGGCCATGTTTGTTTACAACTCGCCCGCGGATCTGATCGCGCGCGCCATCGCTTATTTCTCTCGCGAGTAATAGCTTGCGTGTATCTTGGAATCCATTCTCCCCGCCGTCAAAAAAACCCTTTCGAGCCTCCTTAAATAAGCCTTTGATCCTCCAAAAACGTGCTCCCGTTTCATATGTTTCGCTGATAGGTATGATCACGCCATTCCTCTGTTTCTTTGTGCAAAGACTTTATCTATTCACTTTCTGTATTATAAATTGCTAGCTGAGACAATGCATGATGTAAAAAATGATGTTATTCCTTCACAATTGAAGGATTTGTTCATCCCTATGACAAAAATTCATTCATATAATGCGCGATCTTCAGCCTCCAACAACTTTTACATTAAAAAATCAAAACTTGAAATTGAACGAAAATCGTTTTCAAGAATCGGTGCAAAACTGTGGAATGAGATACCAACTTAGCTCCTAAAACTACCAAAATTCAACTTTAAAAGAAAAATTCGTACAATCTTGTTCAATATATTAGAATTAGAATACTCCTACGAAGATTTAGAATCGATAATCTCTAAAGTTAGTAAATACTCTTAGTAGCTATCACCTTTGTCTCGCCCATTCTACCTTATACATTTTACCTTATGTATTCACCTCTCACAACATAATGCGCTGCCAACTTGAATTAACCACAGAGTTGTTTCCGTAGACTTAATTTTTTTTCGTATTTACCATCTATATATTCATCTTTAGTTTTAACTGTGTGTATTTTTTGCTCTTCTTTTACTGATTATCCTGGCCCGCCTCGATTAGCACAGCTATCTGCGGAGCCAGGGGAATAAGGATTTATTGTTATTGTTATTGTTGGATAAACGTGTAAACGTGAAATAAACGTGTCTCACTATCAAGGCAATACATAGTTTTTGTGAACTCTCAACCCAGGAGATTGTTTGTCGGCTGTCGAACAGCATTACATCGGGATTTAAATCTGACTTACACTTCAATGTGATCGAGTGGGTCCCAGTTCGCAATTCTTTCTACTTCGGGATCAAATTTTTTTTCTTGTTCCTTATTAAATATTTTGAGAAAGCCCTGCCACTGTATATCAGTAAGTTGTTGATCTCGAACAAATCCTGAGAGGCGCAAGATATTACAGCTGAAGAAGAAATAGCGGTTGATATAGTCACTTGAGCCTCATTATTTAAGCGTGTTTGGAATTCATATGCTTTCCAGAAATCAAAATGGTGGCCATAATAACACAGGCCACGATCCTCTTTCCTTAACCTCCGCCATACTTTCTTTTCATCTTTTCCTTTTCATCATCGTCTACTTTATGTGCTCCAAATTTATATTGTAATCTTTTTTCGTTTGAGTTTTTTCTCCTTAAACCAAGGATTGTAAGAAACACGACTAAAATGACTGCCACCGTTAAACACTGTTCTAAAATTGCTTTATATTGTTTAGACATCTTCCGGACCGTAATCTGTGACCATATGAGGGCTCCAAAATTCTACATTGCATCAGTAAACCAATGCTCCTGGAGAGCGCATCCTTGCAAGAGTCTTGAAGATTGTGAGAGAGGAACTTACGCAATATGCAATAGCGGATGCTTCTCAATGGGATTTAGAGCCGACAAACCAAAGAGAACTGGCAGATTTTATTTGAAGACCACCAGCAACTCGCCATTTTGCTCTATGTTGTTTTATATTTTGGCTATTGTTGCTTTGTGTTCTTTCAGATCCTTTCGTGAGACGCACCGTTATTCCAGCTCAGATTAGCAGTTAAAAACTGCCATTCTAAGTTGTCTGAATAATTTCAATGCATTTAACCGAAGATTCTGTTAATGGAGGTTTACCTTAATTTCCCTATGTTATCGTGTTCATTTTGCCGCAACAGAATAGAGACCAAAATATGAAAATATGACAAACGGAAAAGGAATAGGACTATTATATGCAATCAAAATATTTTTTGAATCCTTAGGATTGCAACAAAGTGGAAAGGGTTGCTGACCGACGCCTTGATCAAAGAATCCACCATTTCAAGTCTACGGATTGATTGAGGATTAAATGTCTTCGTTTCCTTGATTTGTGTCTGAGTTTTGTTTTTCCTTGTTTGCCTTTTTTTCTTTTTTAAAACATAAGTCTTTACAAGTCTCTTTTGGCTATAGCTTTTGGAGAAATTTCGTCTTCTTTTGGTTTTGTCACCTGCCAAAGAGATAATTGAAAATGGCAAAAAGGACATTCCTCANTTAATAAGAGAACAAACAACATTCTGTGCGTGTTTCCCTTAATTCCTCATACATATATCCTGCAGTAAGCTACATCGCACTCAGTCTATACATGGCAGGAGAAGCAAATTATGTTTCTTTACTGCTCTTACATGCATTTGTTAAGTTGCAACTTTCAGGTTGCATCGTGGGCCAAACAAAAGCTTGGTTTGTCCATTTCTTGAAATAAGAAATAACATCGTAGTCAAAGTTTGATGACACGCCCAATGATCACTCCTCCAGTGATAGAGGGTTTCTGAACCAGGCCAGTGTGATACGTAACATGTTCATGATAGATTGTACAATGTGTCTCATCTTCCAACAATAAAGTATTGGATTCAAAATCGAATTAAGGAATACAAGATATTTCGAGAAAGAGATAGAACCCCACAGAAAGATTTAGTTCCTCGCAAGGGAGACATTTTAAAGGCCGAATGTATACTAAGTTGGATGACTGATCATTATTCCAAATATTATTGGCAATGTGGTCACAACAGCGTTTCGAATTTGTCTCATAGTTCCGCAGAGGCTCTGTATAAGAGTGAGCGAAAATTGATAAAATATTCTTGAAGGGTTAAGTGTGCCTCTCATATTAACGACAATAACGGAGATAAGAAAGGGAAAATAACAAACAAAATTAAACTAGATATACGTACATGACACCTGATTCTTGTGACGTCGTGAGATGTTGAGGTATCAAATAATATCTTAACCTTTTGAAAACTTTCCATGTAAGTGCTGAAAATGAGACAACGATGGCTGCCAATTTAAATGTTGCTCGTCAAACTAAACCTGCCGAGGTAATTTGGTTATATAAAATAAGTTAAGATTGTAAATTGGCCACCGTAAAGAGTTAAAAATTTGACATTTCGAGCGTTAGCCCCTCGTCATACTCTGACGAGAGGCTAACGCTCAAAACGTCAGCTCTTTAACTCTGCTTTAACTCTTATATTTTGGCTATTGTTGCTTTGTGTTCTTTCAGATCCTTTCGTGAGACGCACCGTTATTCCAGCTCAGATTAGCAGTTAAAAACTGCCATTCTAAGTTGTCTGAATAATTTCAATGCATTTAACCGAAGATTCTGTTAATGGAGGTTTACCTTAATTTCCCTATGTTATCGTGTTCATTTTGCCGCAACAGAATAGAGACCAAAATATGAAAATATGACAAACGGAAAAGGAATAGGACTATTATATGCAATCAAAATATTTTTTGAATCCTTAGGATTGCAACAAAGTGGAAAGGGTTGCTGACCGACGCCTTGATCAAAGAATCCACCATTTCAAGTCTACGGATTGATTGAGGATTAAATGTCTTCGTTTCCTTGATTTGTGTCTGAGTTTTGTTTTTCCTTGTTTGCCTTTTTTTCTTTTTTAAAACATAAGTCTTTACAAGTCTCTTTTGGCTATAGCTTTTGGAGAAATTTCGTCTTCTTTTGGTTTTGTCACCTGCCAAAGAGATAATTGAAAATGGCAAAAAGGACATTCCTCATTGTCCACCTCTCAAACACAATAATAATAGGACTTATGCACGATGACGTCAAAACAATTTCTCCCAGCATCAAACCGAGGCTTGGTGGTGACCGCTTCGCGTGTTTTGTTGGTGTTTAGAAAAAGAATCAATTCCACTTGTCTGTTTTTTTAACTTTTTGTTCGAAATGCCTCAATGCTGTATTGCCTAGGGCTGTACAAACTCTTCAGACATGAAAATCAAAAAGTCCTGGCATCGCTTACCGCAGGAGAACAAAGAACTGCTTTCGAAATGGCTTGCAAAAACTTGGCGAACAAGCACTCGAGGCTATGTGGCGACCACTTTGAAGCCTACTAATCTAGGAAAATCCCGGGTTCTTTGCTTGTCAACTTGAAACCAGGGTCTATTCCCACAAATTTTTGCTTTGTGCAAGAAAAAAACACCGAGGAAACCTCCATCAGAGCGAAAATCGGTCGAACGAAAGTAGCCGAGTTCGTAAGTAAACACAGTCTTTGTTAATGACACAATCTGAAAACACAATCAAAAACAGTTTTTAACGTAAAAACCGATAAACGTGTGTTCGTCCACCGGCCACCACGCTTGATTAGGTCATTCCCCTTTTCGCATTCATTAGTTAGCATTAATAAGAGAACAAACAACATTCTGTGCGTGTTTCCCTTAATTCCTCATACATATATCCTGCAGTAAGCTACATCGCACTCAGTCTATACATGGCAGGAGAAGCAAATTATGTTTCTTTACTGCTCTTACATGCATTTGTTAAGTTGCAACTTTCAGGTTGCATCGTGGGCCAAACAAAAGCTTGGTTTGTCCATTTCTTGAAATAAGAAATAACATCGTAGTCAAAGTTTGATGACACGCCCAATGATCACTCCTCCAGTGATAGAGGGTTTCTGAACCAGGCCAGTGTGTTACGTAACATGTTCATGATAGATTGTACAATGTGTCTCATCTTCCAACAATAAAGTATTGGATTCAAAGTCGAATTAAGGAATACAAGATATTTCGAGAAAGAGATAGAACCCCACAGAAAGATTTAGTTCCTCGCAAGGGAGACATTTTAAAGGCCGAATGTATACTAAGTTGGATGACTGATCATTATTCCAAATATTATTGGCAATGTGGTCACAACAGCGTTTCGAATTTGTCTCATAGTTCCGCAGAGGCTCTGTATAAGAGTGAGCGAAAATTGATAAAATATTCTTGAAGGGTTAAGTGTGCCTCTCATATTAACGACAATAACGGAGATAAGAAAGGGAAAATAACAAACAAAATTAAACTAGATATACGTACATGACACCTGATTCTTGTGACGTCGTGAGATGTTGAGGTATCAAATAATATCTTAACCTTTTGAAAACTTTCCATGTAAGTGCTGAAAATGAGACAACGATGGCTGCCAATTTAAATGTTGCTCGTCAAACTAAACCTGCCGAGGTAATTTGGTTATATAAAATAAGTTAAGATTGTAAATTGGCCACCGTAAAGAGTTAAAAATTTGACATTTCGAGCGTTAGCCCCTCGTCATACTCTGACGAGAGGCTAACGCTCAAAACGTCAGCTCTTTAACTCT